GAAAATTACTCTGCATGTTAGATATATATAAAAAACAGGCATGAGAAAAACATTGCTTTACAAACCTTAAGACATAATAAAAAATTTTTTTTATTTTGCATATGAAATAATTGTAATGTTTACTGAAAATCTGCCAAATTTCGTTAACATATGCTTACTAATAAAAAAGATATAGCATGAAAACTATAACAAGCACAAAATGTTTATGCAGGGACTGAGCTCATGCTGAAAGAGTTAATGTAATATTTGCATCATGCCTATCGATAGTTCTCCACTCTCCTACTTTCCGTGTGACTTATTTGTGCATTAGTCATGAGAGTACTTAAGTTTTACCATCCTACCAAAAGCCATATTTTTGTTGTTGACATATTTGTTGTTTATGTCATAGCTGCCTTTCTCTGTGAATTGACAATTTACTGTTATCCTTCATGTTAACCCTTTTGTTAATTTTGAAACTTCTGTTTTGAATTGAGATCTTATCTCTCCCTGCTCCATTTGAATCTCATTGTGTCATGTTTTGAAAGGAGAACACGAGGCTGCTTAAAAAGATTTTTTGATAATACCATTGGATTACCAAGGTAAATTTGTGGGATGTCTATCAACACATCCCCATATCCCAGTCATCTCTTGTGTTTCTTGGGTTTGCCATCAGATAGTGGTGTACCAATTTTAAGCATTTCCTTTTGGTTTAGATTTGACTTAATATGTCTTTTAATGATACTTATAGCCTTGTCAGTTTTCTACAGTGACTTGGTATAGATATTTATTATTACCTGGATGACTGGCATATAGTAGCTTTTTCATCTATCCAGTCTCCAACACATGCGTGTCTGACCACTTAATTGGCAAAATCTTTTGGGTTGATCATCTGTACTTCCAAATCATTATTTGGTTACTCTGGGATTTTGGATCAACACTGTTCAGGGGACTCTTTAACCTCTTTTGGTTCATTGAATTTTAGAGTTGAGAGTATGCAAGCTTACATGTGCCATACAACTTTTGACATCCTCTTTGCTTTGAGGACTATGGTTTTGCTCATCTGAGTTGTTTATGTGCTCTCTTCAAGGGATTCAATAGAAAATGAAGTGTTACTTGTTATCATGGGTTATGCCACTCTCCCTATGCACTGTTGATTCCCTTTACATTTGTTTGATTGGAAATCGAACACTGTGGGATATCTTTACAGATGCATCTCAGGGTTGAGGCACAGTTTTAGATCAGTGCATTTCTGACACTTGGGGTCTATATCAAGATAGCATCTCATATCAGTCTTAAACTCTGGACATGTTATCTTCGCTCCACTACACATAAGTCCTACTATATTCAATATAAGTGTTATTTATATTCATATAATCCAGTAGCATTATATAGCAGTTATCAAGGAGAGACAGATTCTGTCAGTCCATGTCGAACAGCCTGTTATAGTGGCTTTACTCTCACAATGTTCACCTTCAGGTTTTTCATCTGCTGATGATGCTTAACACTCCGGTAGAGCTCTCTTTTCAATGAACTTGGGGTTCTGCCTGCTGAATGGACTCTTTACTAATCTGTTTTCCATTGGTGTGTGATAGCCATGGACATCTAATGATCAGTATTTTATGTCTCTCCATAAACTTATTGTCTTCTTATTTTATGTCCTGTCTCTGAAATTTCTTTGTTCCACATCTCTACATCAACATCAGACCTCCATATTACACTCTGAGATTTGAAAAATACATTTCTGCAGCTGGCTGTTATCTGGTCCTTTGTGCGACAAGCAGGATTCTCATCTCATGTTGCTCATATGTTAGCAAGGTCTTGCCAATACTCTTCCTTCATAGTGTATGAATCATGTTGGACTGATTTTCATCACTTGTGTCATCAACACACAGTCTCCTTTTGTCACACTGTTCAGCTGATGGCATCCTTTTTCCATTATCTCTTTCATGAAAAAGGTCTTTCAGCATTCTATATTTGTGGATAAAGATTGATTTTATTGACCACATTGCGATGCCACTTACTTAGTTTTCACTAGCATCATCCCTTTTTTATGTATTTTGATTTCAACATCATCTTATGACTCAGTGCTGTTCGTTTTGGGATCTCAATATTGTTTTACTTCTCCACTGTTTGAGCTTTTTGCTTATCTGTTTTTTCAGTCATATTTTCTTCATATCCTCACTTCAGGCAGGAGACGCTTGGATCTTTGTTCTGGATTCATTATATTTTCCAGGCATTTGCTGTGTTTGTGTCATGATAGAGCATTTTTTCCTAAAATTTGGACTACTTGGGAGGGTAGCTGTTGTTTTTCTTCTATTATTTTGCCTGTTCTTTAGGATCCTTATTCTTGAATCGTTTCTCTGTCCTATCCAAGTTAATAAGTGTTATCTTGTTCATATGGAATTGTTTAGAGGGTCTAAGACATATTATTTACACCTTATGTTAAGTCCTGCTGCTCGGATTAAGTCCATGTTACTTTGAGCAATTAGCTTTCCAAGATTTGTCTTGTTTTTCCATATGCAAGCTGCATATAGAATTACAACAGAGCAAAAAGGGATATTGTTATGAATCTTTGTACTGTTTCTCTGTTTCACCTTATGATTGGGTTTGTTGTTATTTTCTTTATGATGTTTTCATTCCACTGTCCTCATTGTTGATCCAATCCTTAAATTTACCTAGCCTTCTTCAATTTTCTCTAGGTGACCTAATTTATTTTGCTTGCTTGTCTTTTCTGTATGGATGATGAGAGATAAGATTTATTCTACCCTTGGAGCTGTCCATTCGTATTTTACTAAAATGAGAAATGGTCTTGTCTACTCTACTGAACATCTTCAACAACAAAGAGTATTTTTGCATCTCGTATATCTCCACTTCTCTCTTGTTGATACTACCTTTGATTACTGTCCCTCAAGCCTAATAGAACAGGTACTAGCTCCTTGGGCAAACTAGGTATTTTGCTGGGAAGAATGCTTCTTCTGAATGTCGTTGTATTAAAAGAATGGATTAGTTCTTGTGAATTATCACATACTCTTAAAAAGTGCCTCATTATCTCCACTTCTTCTCAAATACAGATTAATCCTTGTTATATAGTACGTATATATCCTGCTTTTTTATTTCTCATACCAGACTCCACTAACCATCAATTGGTGTTGAAGGATTCCTTCTCCATCCATAGCCTGTTGTATTCACACCTACTTCCCAACAACCATGAGATATGTAGTTTCACATCAACCACAAAATATATCTGGCATTGAGTGGAAAGTAGAAATAAAAGAATCCCTTGATGCATGCATAAATAAGTCACTTGGAAGATGAGAAAGTGGAAAACTATGGGTAGGTATGATTCAAGTATTGTCATGTGTCAAGGACGTACAGAACTTTTGGTCATTTGATCTTGATAAAATCAAGGTCTACTGAACAATAAAAGGCTAACCATGTATAAAGCAAGTACCTGTTTGAATTCATTTTATTTTTCTGATATAAAAGTTAGTGGCCAAGCTTATAGGAACATCATAGCTTGTTTCTTTTTTGCATTTTACTTTATAAGGTTGGGTGACACAACAATTTCAATATTCATTGAGTATTTAGGTTAAATCTTTTTGACACTTATGATGATAGCTGTTAGCTGAACAAAACATTGTTTTCTTACGTTTATTTTTATAACTTGTTTATGTGATATTGCATGCATTAATTTATTGCAAACATTACCACTAATTATTAGGATGAGACTTTTAGTTGCAGAGTTGAATGAAATGGTTTTGGATAGCTTTATCTCTGAGTTTTTATTATTTAGTCACACCTACATTGTTAACATTACATTGTAAAATAATCATTTGTTCATAAATGTAAAAATTGAAAAGAATTATTGTCTTAAAACATTGTAAAATACAATTTCAAAGAATATATAAACATACCTTTGTCCATATGCTTGTAGCTAGTCAAAAAACGTTTTTAAAACTTTATTATGCAATGTATTATGTATAGGCAAGGATTTTTCACCCTTTAAATCCATACTCCTCTCCCTCTTCCCTAAGATTTTTTGAAATTTGAGTTTTATTTCTAGATGGCAACTTTTGCTGTGAAAAATGCTAGGTGCCCTCTTAAAACTGTACCATTTTGGACATGCACATGTTTATACAAAAATCTTGGGGGGGGAATACAACCAGAACATGTTTATAAATATACTATGCCTTCATATGCAACATCAGTAACCAAATAAAATTCTGAATGAAAATCCATGTTATTAAATCATTAAGATAAAAATTCACTATAATATTTTTATTTATATTAGAATTTAAAGATTCAAGGATTAACATACAGATATTTGGCTTAGAACTGTGATCACAATGTAATTTGTCACTTTGTAATCTGTTTTCAGGCTTGGAAACGATGGTGTACACAGATCTTGTCTGCTCTTAGGTGAGATCATAATGAAATATATATGTTAATATTTTCTGGGTTTTTATTGCTCATTTAAGAATAAATACATACATACATATGAACTTCACAAGCTTCAATTAGTGTTGCAGTTTCATTAAATGATCTTTTTGTTCTTTGTGCAATGATGTATTGTTTTTGGCAAATTTGATTTTGATTCACAAAAATGGTATTTTAAAAACTATTCCACTAATGTTCTTGCTTAACTGGTCATTAATGTATTTTACATAATGCCTTTATTTCTTAATAATAGTATAAAGTATGCCTAGGTATAAAAAGTAACAGATTTTTTATTATTTTGGGTTTTAAAATTTAAATAAAACTAAAAGAAACACTATTCAAAAATCTTAAATTGATCCCTATTTCCTTGTTTAAAAATATGTATTACACACACATACACAGTTGTTTGTATTTTTTTCACCACCTCTTCCAAACTATTAATGAATGATGTAGCTTTATTTATTTCTGTCATTGTACTTTATTCTTCTAAAATTTCTCTTAGAATTTATGTCCACTCAGCAGTAAATTAAGGGCTTATAACACCAGAATTTAGGGCTCTCTCCTGCTACAACAGACACAGTATAGATAGCCTGTCACTGTGCTTCCTAGTACCCTAATAAAATAATTCGAATACAATACCTTGCCTCTTATCACATAATAGCTTTTCTCAGTTATTATTGCCCTCTTTATGGTAAAATATTTTTTGCTTGCCATTAGCCTTGATACTCCCATCTACCCCATGTGTTTAATGTGGTTTGGCTGTGCTGCAGCATGTGAGTAATCATGTAACAACCTTGCACCAATAGGAGCACTACACATTCTTCTCACACAGCTATCATACCTTGAATTATAGAATCTGACCTGACTTCTCAATTAGGTAATCAAATGTTTTGATGTATTGCTTGCCAAGCTTTGAGTTTTCAAATTTGGCTATAAATTTGCTCATGGTTTTGAACTTAGTTTTGTACTTAACTTTTAAATGTTGGTAGTCTAAAAACAGTTCTATACAAGTTATGTTTTTTGTGAAATTTTTTTATAATTTTTGACATCAACTTATTTTTTGTTTACCAAGACTTTTCATCTTGGATTACTTATCCACTTCCAGTTCAGTTTTGAATTTGCAGTTTGTTGTTATGACTTCTTCAACTGCTACCTTAGATCAACCAACTGTTCTTATAACCACAGATGTTACATTATCAGCAGAGGAGGTTTGGCACTCAGATGTTATGAAATGTAGTCATTCATATAGGTTTTTCCCTCCTTCTTCCTTTACTGTGCAATCTCATGCAGGTGTGATTGATGCACATAGACCTTCATCAGATTTTGTGGACTTCGTAACATTGGTTTGTTGTGTTTTATCCTTATCCTCTGTGTTGTATGAACTGTCCCCTTGTTGCAACTATTTTATTTCCTCCCTCTCCTGATATCCATGTTTATGCTGAGCAGTTGGAAAACAATTACACTTGGGAATTAGCATGTCTTGCCCCCTCCCCCTGCACTTCAGATGCTCATGCTTAGGCTATCATTAAGATTCAAATCTGTTTTGGGATTCTCAACAGCTAATTTCTTTAATCCCAGTTTGGGGTTTAGACCTGACACTTCAGTTCATTTTTCACAGGCTTAATTTTCCCACCATTTTAAACATTAACCTTCTTCCTACGTTACCTCTCTTTACATTCACCTTTTGTCTGAGGCTGTTCATCATTCCTCTGTGGGTTTTTTTGGGGATGGCTATTCCTTATTGTTATCCATGTTAGCGCATTTGTCATCCTTGGCTCTTTTTCTTCACACTTAGTTTCTATGTTGTTGGGATTTGTTAGGCAGAGATGCCATTCTGACATAGGTTTGTTTGCCCCTCCCTCACCTTTTTAAGAGTCTTATGCAAGGCTCATTTTTTCTTCAGTCCATTTTTGGGGGTCTCCCTCGAGTCCTTGGAGTCTCATGTAGAGTAAGCCTGTCTCCATTCTTCCATATTCCCCCTTGCCACATGCCTGTCCCAATGTTCTCCTGCTCCTTTTCCTGTTTCCTGTCCCTCCACTTCTGTTCCCTTGCCTGTTCCTTCTACCTGTGTTTCTGAGTCATGTCCCCATATTCTTTGCTGCCACCCCATCTACTGTACATGGTATCAGTGTCTATCAGGTAGGTACAGGACTTGTGGGGGCCAGGCTGTACAATTTCATCCACCTTTGAAGGACATTCACCACAGATTCTTGGCTGTTGTCTTATCAGAAGGACTCTCACTTTTTCACTTTCCTCCTCTCTTATCTCCTTTTGCAGTTCCTTTTCTTCTCCCAGAAGATCCTATGTCCTGGCAGTGTCTGTCAGAGATGATTCAGAACCTTCTATCCAAGAGTACTATAGAATCTGTGGCTCAGCTTAGCCATGGGTTCTATTTCTGATTGTTTGTTGTCCCCAGAAAGACTGGGGAATGGCAACCTATCATCAATCTTTCCTGTGTGAACTGCTTTTCAGACATTCCTTATTTCACCATGATATTGTTTTTGTCACTTCGATGGGCTTTTACTCCAGGTTTGCAGAAGATGACAAAGTTTGACATGTATCCAGTGCTTACCTCCATATCCCCAGCATCTCGTCATTTTCTTCAATTTGTCCATGGGGGGTTGGGTCTACCAGTTTCGATCTCTTCCATTTGGCCTCTCCTTAGCCCCTACATATTTTTTGAGTAGTCAAAGATTTTGCCAGATGAATCCGCTCCCAGAGGCTTTGGTCGCATCATTACATGGATGACTGGTTTCTTCTAGCTCCATCATTGGCAGTATCTTCCTGCCACTCTCAGTTTCTTTTCAAAGAAGCTGCACTTGTGGGTTGGTTGATCAAGGTAGAGAAATCTGTACTGATCCCAACTCAATATCTTGTTTGTCTTGGGGTCTTTTTCAGCTCCTACCTAAGTCAGGCCCAACCATTTCTAGTTTGTCTATGGTCCATGGAGCTAGCAGTTGAAAAGGCACAATCCTGTGTCGACCATTGCAAGCTGTTGGGTAGCCCTGTCCTCTATCTTCTGCTTTTTCCAAGTTCCACCATATTTTCTCCTACCGTCATATCCCTTATGTCCCTATCTTTACAGATACTTTGTCCTCCCTTACCCTGTCCATTCCCCCTTTTGAACCTTTAGTGACTTGTTCCCTGTACCACCTTACCTTAAAAAACTTATTTCATTCTCTTTTTTAGCTTCAGGACATTGTCAGTCAGATGTATTTGCTATTGATGCCTCATGTATTTGTTACCACAGCACCTGTGTCCTCCTTTACCCAGATAGAGCCTTCCTTCCCAAGACCTCTGCTATTCGTGAAGGTAATTTCATCTTATTCCTATTTTCTACTTGTATTCCTTCTCCTATCCGGATCTCCTCCTGTGTCCAGTCCATGCTTTGCCATCTTATGTAGTATGCAATGCTTCTGTGGTTCGCATTCCCCTCTCTTTATCCACTGGAATTCTTCCATATCTAGAGACCTTTCCCCCATTACCCCTACAGGTAGGATTCACCAAGTAATTAGTGTATTCTTTTTTGTCCATCTATGACCATCACCTCTGCCATGTTTCCTATTACCAAATCCATTATTTCACTATGTCTGCTTGTTTTCATCGTACTTTGGATATCATCCAGGCCCACATGTGGACCACCCTCACATGTTCGTGGCACACTGTTTCCATCTTTTAGCCGTCTCCTTGTGAACCAAATATCGTCTGCCTCCTGTTGCTGTCGTCTTGCTCAGTACAACTGTGAGTGGGTAAGATTTCTATATTTTTCACTTTCAAAGTCCTCGTTATTTGTTTCTTGTTGGATCCCACTCTGTGGTGAATGTTGCCTTTCCAGGTATACTTATTCTCAATCCTGCACTGTACGGCCTTTAAGGTTTACAACACGCACTATTGAAATTGGGTGTTCTGTAAGGCTGTTCGTAGGATCTTCCTCGCAGTGTTTTGTATAATAAGTATGTTTGTCCCAGACCGTACACTTATGGACTAGCATGAGTAAAGCAGATGAGGATTGCTGCCCATTCTTACCGATCCATTGACGAAATCTGGATCAATCTTCTTTTCAAAATAGGTTTCATGGTCACTCAGTGCACTGTTTCAGGTGCTGCATCCCCCTGGACTCTTACCACTTACCAGCTCTTAAGTGTGTTCAATTCCAAGCAGATGATGATAGGGTGGTGGTGTACTGCCAGCATAGATGGTGTAAAACCTTCCTCCTACCATGGCATGGATAAAAATTCCTTTGCTGCCTAGTTATGAAATTAAGTTTATCCACCAATAAATGCAGATACTACTGTCTGAATGTCAATTCCCAGATAGTCTGGTTTTGGATTAGACCCAGACCAAACAACATGAGTCCTCACAAGTGAGATGAATGGTTGAGGACCTCCTTTCTACCATGGGACAGATGATTAATCCCTGGTGCCATGGGTTTTGGATGGAGTTGATCTCTCACATTGGTTGAGGACCTCCACTTTCCAGGAACAGGATGATTCAGTTCCGGTCCCTAGAGTTTTGAGGATGGAGTTTATCTCCTGATTGCAGTCTGGCATGCCATAATCATTTTGCATTAGGGGTGCATCTGGATTCGATTGATTGAAGGCCTCTTCCTTTCTGGGACTGGACATATCATTCCTGGTTTCACTGGTTTGAGGATAGAGTTGATCTCTATATTGCAGCCCAACTTGCCATCATCATTTTGTATTAGGGGTGCATCTGGATTGAATTAGTTGAGGACCTCCTCCTTCTGGGGACTGGATCTTCCTTTCCTGATCTCAGCAGTTTGAGGATGGAGTTGATCTCCCGATGAGCTGAGGACCTCTTCCTTCTGGGAACGGGAAGTATCAATCTCGGTTCCTACAATTTTAGGCTGGAGTTGATCTCCCAATCATGGTTTGATGCACCATAGCCACTTTACACCATTGGCATGTTTAGCCTCCATTGGTCGAGGACATCCTCCTTCTGGGGACTTTGTGTCATTCCCATTTCCAGTGGTTTGAGTTTGGAGTTATTTTCCCAGCTATGTCAGGAACTTACCCTGTCCACTATTTTTTAGGCATATGCCCGCTATTTATCGTATGAGCCTCATTGCAGCCCATTTAGCGACTGTTTTTCATCAAGGACAAAGAGTATATCTGGTTCAGATGTGGTGCAGTCTCCCACAGAGATGTCATACTGCCTAGGTTCTCTTTCTATACATTTTGAAAGCGGTTAATCTAGGTTGCACTGGCCCCTCCACCAGATAAATGTGGGATTCTAGCTATTGTGTAAGTGGAGATAAGGTATTGTATCAGAAATTTTCCAATACAGAAAATGCATCTCTGATAGATACCTATGCTCACACTTCCCACCCTTACTCTCCACCTCCAGTGTTTTGTTCTTGGTGCCTAATCTTCGAAGTAAGGTTAGACTATAATTCAGGAAGTGATAACTATGTGAGGAGAATGTGTCTCATTCCTATTGGTGGAGGGTTGTTGCGGGATTATTTACATGTTATGGTGTAGCTGAACCATGTTAAACATATGGGGGCTGGTGAGAGTATCAAGACTAGTGGTGAGCAAAAAATTTGAGAGTGCAGTGATAACTGAGAAAAGCTATTATGTGAGACAAGGTAAGTATCTTTTTGAAATACATTTTCTATGTAGGAAAATTATAACTTATAATAATAAATTAATTTATAACTTCAAAATTTTATTGTTTAATAACAATTACTTTTCCTGGTGAAAAATGTTTTTTACAGTATCTTTAAGTTGTTACTTTATTTAAAATTCTATACCAATTTTTTGTTGATGGTAAGGTTATTTTTTTCTCTATTTTTACAAGCTACTTACATTCCTGTTCACCTCCAATAATCCATGGAAACTTAACATGTGACACTATTTTCATTCAACATGATGGACTTGTCAAAATTGGGTCTGGTAAGAACTAGCAGTTTTTCTTGAAATTATCATTTACTTGTTTTAATGATGCAGCTTTTTTATACTCATATTTGTTTTTTTCAAATGTTGGACTACCATGATTATTTTACAGTCAGCTCTATTCATCAAACTGAATTTGTGGAATGTTGGTTGTAAGTTTATGGAAGCTGTGTAACAAACTTACAAAACTATTGGCAATAAAATAATAATTCATAATTTATTTTTATTTTATCATTTTATTTGCTTTCAGGACTTAATGTGCTTATGTCTAATGTAACTTAATGTTATGTTTTATATTGAAGGTTATTTTAACTTTTGAGTTTTACAGAGAATATATATATATATTTTTTTTTAACGTAATAATTTAGTTGCATGCAACTGCATCATCATAAGGAAAGGAAAATGTTAAGTATATTTTTGTTGTTAAACTGCTGGAATTATGCTCTGTTTCTATCATAAATTATTGATTGAGTTTTGAATATTTGTTTTAAAAGGATATGTAAAGTTTTTTTTTTATAATGGATTTAAGCATTATGAAATATTCATTAGCAGATTTTAGGCAAGTTTATAAGTAAAACCAATCTAGTAGTTATTGTTTACAAAATTATTATTGTTACCTTTGCCACCAAAGGTCGACAGAGGTTATGTTTTCACACCCACCCCCCTGTGTGTGTTTGTCAGCAAGATTTCTCAAACTGCTGAATTGATATGGATGAAAGTTGATATACGTTTGGACTATGACTTACCTTAGAAGTGACTAGTTTTTGGAGGGGTCAAGATCACAGTAAGGTCCTAAAAATCAGAAAAATCCTTTTCTGTTAACATGTGGACCAATTTTTCACACTATTTTTGCTCTATAACTCAGTCAATAATCATCAGATTTTGGTAAAACTTGGTGGACACGTGTATAATATTATTCCTCATTGTTCTGCCAAAAATGATCCATGTCTATTAATAACGACAGACATACCGACACATTTTCATATTTTTTTAGAGCTGAATACAATCAGTGCTACGTGGCGGAGGTATGTGCTCTACTGAGTGCCCCTCTAAGTACTTCTCTGTTTTTATAGTCATGACAAATACTAAAACTGACTTACCTTTACTTTAGTAAAAGGAATCATCTTGCTACTAGAATTTTTGTAAAAATACTTTGTTGTTTAGACTTAGTGGAATTTTATCATTAGTTCTTTAGTGTGTGAAACTGCACTTGTTTAAACAAAACGCTTATGGAGTGGTCATTTTTTTGTCATATTCCTTACAATCTTGGACTGATGTTCTTTTAACAGTGGCTCCTGATGCTATTCACCGACATGTGAAAACCTGGAGACAAGACATTTCCAATGTTCACTTTATAGCTCCCGAGTTTGGAAGTAAGTCAGTACCATGTATGTGTCCACTTTCTGCTAACTTCTTTCTTCTTGAAGTATCAGCTTATTAATGTCTGTTTCTATTCTATAAAACTAATCCTAGAACTCAAAAGTCTGCATTATTATCTTTCAGAAAAATCTCTTCATTAAAAGTTAGTGTAGCTTTTAACTAATTGTAAACACTTTCTCTGCTGAAAAATTTCCATGGAAATTTTTCTAAAAAAAGAGAGAAATAGGAGAGTTATAAATAAATTTCTTTATAGAAACAGCCATTAATGAAATTAATAGTTTGGATTTATTTTAACCTGTCTTTTTTTTTTCATCTTGGGGAAAAAAATATCAGCAGAAAGTAGAGGAAATTTCTTAAGACTGAATTTGTCTTCAAAAAAAAGTTACGTTCTTTATTTTATATGATTGTATTTCATTAATAAAATATAATGATGGATATTTTTTTTCTGAAGTAGTGCCATTCCTTGAACTATAAACATTTTTTGAGCCAACATTTAAGCAAATGCTGGAACTAATTGAGGGACCAAAGTTTACAGGTATCAATATATCTATATATAGTTGGCATCTTAAAACTTAATTATTTTTTATTTGCTTACGTCTGTTTCATGTGTCAATAAAATAACATATTTTGAATATAATAACTTTTTTGTTTGACAATACTAGCTTATAAAGTTAGATTAGTAATGCTTTTTTAAGTCTAGCTGTAATATATTTAACTATAACTGTGTTAGTTGTGCTGTCCTCTGAATTATATGCACCTTTATCCTGTCTGTGTTGTGTTAGCCACATACTTGGAGATTTAACAGGAAATTGTGTACAGAACTGTGTGAAAATTTGACTAGAATGAATGTGCTACAAGCAGTTAGTCATTCTAACATAAAGTGTTACCTATTACACAGACACTGGTGTTGGTTGCTTTTACACTTTGTTCCACATTTATTGAGTGACAACTGCTCATAAGTCAGATTGCAACTACAGAATATTTATTCCAGTTTTTAAGATACCACTAATATGATAATTTACTTGAAGTTTTTTTAATACTGTATATATTGTAACAAGAACCAATAAAATTAACTGACTAGCAGTGTAGCTATAAATATGATACTTTTATAAATGCAAGTTACATGTTCGATTACAGAAATGCTCAAAAAATGTGTGAAATTATTTTTAAATCCAACTTCTGAAATTTTGAAGATGTTCGTTTACAGCAAACTTTGGAAGTTCCATTTATGTATCTCTGTATAAGATATTTAAAGTTACAGATAATGGTACTAGTAAGTGTATGACTTACTGTTAACAGTCTGCCATTTCAACATCCTTAAAGAATAATTTGTAAAATGAAAATGTATATAAATCCTCGTATTAAGTAGCAAAACCTGTATCATGAACACCTCAAGACAGGAGTTTTTAGAAATGTCAGCTCTTATAAGCTTAGATTGGTCAGTGATATAGATTAACAATCAATTTATTACAGAAATTCAGTTTTGTAGAGTTGGCATGCGTTTATTCTTGATAACACGTTTCCTTTGTATGTAACATCTTTAAATATGAAGGTTCAAATGTAAATGATTGAAAATCTGTGATGTGCCAGAGGCTAACTGTATTATGTCCTAGATCTTACAACTTGTACATCAGTGTCACATAATTGTAAAATATTATTTCACTGTTTATGTACACGTAAATACTAAATTACTTTTACCTTCAACAGTAATTTTGTTTTCTTTTAAATTTCAGTCTCATTAGTAACACAAGCAGTGGACATCTATTCCTTTGGAATGTGTGCCTTAGAGGTATGTGCAGATATTTCTGAACTAGTAAAATTACAACATAAAACCATCAGCGTTTGGATTTTGTCTGATAGATGGGATATCCCCAATGCATTTGGGTGTTATTACCACAAACATTATCTGTTATGACAATAAGTTGACAACCAGGACCGATAATGGTATTTCGATTTGTAATTCATTATTGTTTTATAGTGCTGATTTAATCATCTATTAACAGTTAATGTAATCAATAGTGTGTAAGCTATTTATTTATATATATGACCAATAAAACATGATGTAATTTAACTTATCATTCTTATTCTGAAATCACTCAAACAGTTGAACAGAATTTTCAGCAGCTACTTAACTTTGTGTAGTGTTTGCAAAGTTTATGTGAGATTTGTCAATTATGTATTTTTTTGTAGATGGCAGCTTTAGAAATTCCAGGAAATGGAGAGTCAGGAACACAGATTAGCAGTGAAGTTATAAATAAGACCATAGAATCTCTTGAGGATCCTCTACAAAAGGTACTTTGGGAAGTATCAATGTTTATTTGTGTGAATATTAAACAGAATGTGCCTGATTATAAGGTCATGATGACATTTTTTTTATCCTTTAAAGGACTTTATTCGAAAGTGTCTCAGTAAAAACCCAAATGATCGACCAAAAGCAAGGGAGCTGCTTTTCCATCCCCTAATATTTGAGGTGCATTCCCTTCGTCTTCTTACAGCTCACACTATAGTCAACCATGCATGTAAGTCTTTGGCTAATCTAATTTCCTTACTGAACTAGGTGGTTTTTGTTTGTTTTTTTAACAATATTTGGAATTCAGATTTTTTAAGGTTAAAAAAAATTTTAGAAATTAGAATGTCACTTCAGCTTAATGACTCATTTTTCACTCTTAAGATCAATATTTCATAATATTGACTTAATTACATTGTTTTATTAAATGTTTCCAGTTTAATAAAAACATTTCTTGCATATTATAAACTAGCTTTCCAGCCTGATCAGCTCACAGATGAAGCTTTTAAATCAAGATGTAGTAAAGATGATGTTATTGGAGAGATCCAGCATAAAGATAAAAGGCCGGGAGTCGTATTTTGTCGGAGTGATGCTCCAAAGCTAGAACTAGAAAAGTTTCTGGAGGATGTCAGGTAAAAGTTCTTTAATGTAAGTTGATGTGAAAATAGTGTTAACATTTTCCAGGTGTTTATACTTCCCACATATGAAACTGTTCAGATTTTGTTTCTGGATAAATCTTGGTAATAGAAAAAAAGCTGAGCTATTTGTATAAAGCTATGAAGTCAAGAAGTCAACATTTTAGAGCTGAACTGTGAGCAATGTCTGTTAACATTGTCATATTTGAAGGAATAAAAGGTCAGATAGAACCATTTATACCAAAATAATCATGGAAAGTTTAATTCAGATATACTTTTATTATTATTATTATGAGCAGCCCTAAGACAATTTAAAGGGCCAAATAAACAGCAGACAAGTCTAGGACAACTGCCGTCAGGCAACTGTCAATCAAAGGATCTGAGTAATTTTTTGATCTGGATTACTCAGATCCATAAATATGTTATATAATAACATATACACAAATTTTAGAACCCATTTGTAATATTGTTTTTTTATTTTCTTTAATAAAAGCTAGTTTGGTGCCCATGACCTATCTAGTCAAAAGTTAACTATATAAAGGTGGTAGTTGCCCTGCTCCCACAGTAGACATAAATGCTACACAAATTTGTTCTTTTTAGAAATATATTTAGTGCTAAGAAGTTGTTTGACCTCATATGATGTTACATCTGTGGATCACATTACTTAACTATGTTTATCTTTTCTGCTAATTATCTTAGAACTTATACAACTTTTTCTCATTTCTTTGAAAAGCAAAAATAGATTTAAACATTCTGAATTTTTGGAAAATCTTGTATATATATCCTCATATTTGTAGTTATTTTTTTGTGTATAATATTTACAATATAGTTTGTAAATCTATTGAAAACCTTTCAACTTACTTATTTAAGAAATTTTACTGTTGCTTTACTTTCCCTCTTTTTCCGTGTAACAAACTAGCCTTCTGTTATTCTCTTATCTAGAAGTGGCATATATCCACTTACTGCCTTTGCTATGACACACCTTCCTGTGGCAAGGGCTCGACCCCATTCCCCTGTTGCATCAGAATCCGTGAAATCCTCTTCACCAGAGCTGGCAGATGTAGAAACTAGGCGAATTGTCACCCTAGTGTGCAATATTAAGCCTCAAGAAACCGGGGAGAATCTTCTGGTATGTTGGGTGATTCATTCTAATATTTATACATATACAATTACATTTTATAATTAATGTCAAATAATTGTTTAGATTAGTGAAGGTAGTATCATAAAAAGAAACAGACAGTTACTTGAGTCATTGTTTGGACTTACTAGTTCTAGACTGATGTCTAATTAATTGAAAAATTTAATTAAGATTTCACAGAGTATAAACTGATCCCTTTCTAACTTGGGAAGACTTCTGCTTTTTCTGTGTAGAATTATATTCCACACATATAATTTTGTGTGTATTGTTCTTATAGTTAAACCAGAAGTTGATGTCTTCATTTAAAATAGATTTGGCCAAATATAGGTTCTTAGAGCAATGATCAAAGTGAAATAACTTTTTTACTTATTTGAGAACTTGAAATTCACACAGAATGATGCAAAATGTTTAATCGCATTCTGCACTACTTCATTAAAGAAATAAAAACTCCACAGTTAGTTTCATATCTGAAAGTGGCATCTCTCCATTTCCATACATTTAGGGTAAGTAGTTTAGCAAGTTTTGTGGATTTAATATTTTTTAATTAAACAGGTTTCCCATGCTTCTTGGAAAACCATTTAAAACACCTGGAAACTTGAAATAGCCCCTATTGTGATTGCCACATACAAAAACAATGTGAGCAGTATTGAAAACATTACCAGAAGTGTGGGACACCTCACACATGATTGTCATGCTTACATGCAGTTGTATGTTTTTAATTCCTTGACTTGAACTTTCAAATGCAGTCTGAGAGGTTAAGACTAAGAAATATTAATATTGTAATGATATGAAAAAATCTTTAAAGAATTTTGAAACTTCTCTAGTTAAATAGTTAACAATTTTATAGTATTAAAAAAACTAGCTTTTGAGTGAGAAGTTATTGATACAGACAGAAGTTTAGAAAAACTGGAAATGCACTTGCATGCTGATAAATCAATAAATCAAACAACTTAAAGCTTGTTAAACTAGTCAGTGTTTAAGTGGCACTTAACAACATCCAGACCCCTGTTTTGACTATTCAGTGTTTCCTATCTAGCTGGAACTAGTTGTAATTAAACAGAAGTCCTATTTGTATAAATAGATTAATGACTTAATGGTATTACATATTGTTAGACTGTTATTAATCCTTGTTCAGTAATTTCTGAAAACCATAGTTAAATAAGCAAATTATTCAGAAAATAACAGAATAATGAATATCAACTTGCTTTAATTTGTTATTTATTAAAGTCTTACACTAAGTAACACTGATTATGTTTGCAACTTGTAAATAATAAGCAATATATTAAGTTAAAGCTAAACTTTTATTTTGATACACAAGGTAAATGTCAACAACAGGCATCATTATGCCACACCCTCACATTGAGTTGTGTACGAGCAAAATGCATTCATGCTGTTCTCCACAGTCGTTCTCACAGAAGTAGTATTAACTAATATTTTGATTACTTGGATAGTTGGAATAATTGAAAACACTAACTTATATCAGTAGATTATGTTTGTGACATTAATCAGTGTAATCAATGCTCATAGGTAATCAATTATGTGAAATTAATCAACCACTTCTATTACTAGTTGAGTTAAATAACATGATATTGAGAGTCTGTGAGAACTACTGACATGTTTAATGCTGTGATTATTATTTAACTGAGACTAGATGACTCTGTTGCTTCAAATGGATGACAAAATTCATCGTCAGTTATCCTGTGAAGTTACCACCCAAGATACTTCTGGCGCTCTAGCTGAAGAACTTGTACTGTATGGTTTTATCAACAAAGTAAGCATCTGCATTACTGTTTACTAGCATGGGATCTAGGGTTGGGTGTTTATATTATTATGCAAAAAAAAACTTCCCATTTGCCTTTCATAAGTAATCAGTTTGTGTTTATGAGTACTGTACATACTTAGAATACAGAAGCTTAGTTTAGTTAGATATGCTTATTTCTTAGAACAGTAATTAATAATTCAAATTGTTGTGATAAAAGTTGGAAGATTATTGTAAAAGTACTTATAAAAATTTATTTTTTTTAAATGCTACCAGAAACTGAAATTTCTTGAGTGATTTTGAGTAAACAGCTATAAAGTGTAGCCATTACATTGTCAAGTACAACATTGTGCCCTCTGCCCAGCAGAATTAGTATCATCCTGTTAATGATTTGAAATATTAGCTTTTTATTTATGACAAAAATAGAAAGATATTTTAATCCAAATTATTACATTCCCATCAAAATATTTGGATTTTACAATAGTGTTCAATGATATCAGTAATGAGTTGTTTCTGTTGATTTATATTCCATGTGTTGAGTTCATAAAGCTATCTGTACAGTTTTCATAAGACCTTCACCACATTTAATAGGAATGATATAGATATTTAATTATCAATAATATGCTAACTCTATACATCATAGCTAAAATGTAGGTTATAAATTAATAGGGGTAATTTTAGACCCGTGTACATTAAAGTTCTAGTGAGCAAACATTATTTTCTATATATTTAAAAGGTGCAGATATGCGTTTGTTGGTGTGGAAATGGATATTTTATGCAGTCAATAAAGAACAGAATTTTACAAAAATCTGATTAATAAAGAAAATGTAAATCAATTTAGTGCTCTTTATATAAATGACGTAACCTATCCTAAAAACTGCATTGAATAAAGTAACTTAAGTTCGTATTAATCATTGGTTTGTTTAAGGTGTAGTGATTATGTATATGTATTGTTAAATAGTGGTCTTGAAAGAGAAATACACAGTTATCTTGTAAAACTGTTTAAAGTGGAGCTTTGTTATGATTGGTTAATTTTTTAAGACTTGTACATCTGAAAGCAACTAGTATGCATGTTTCACACACAGTTCCATTCACTCGTGTTTCAAAGATAATTTAAGTTTCAGTCATTTTTTTTTAGTAATTCTTTATCTGAGGC